GATTTTAATAATCACATTACAAATTTTGATCCCTGAAATTTTTGGTAATACCAATGTTCACTTTGTCTGGTTTTGTTGAAGTATGTCCCATATATAAATTGGTTACAAGTGAATAAAAGGAGCTTTGTAAAAGAGCTATCTTTATTTATTTTAGTATCTGATACCATTAAGTTGTTTAAATATTTGTAAAAACTTTCTAGGTACAAGTAAAAAGAACCAAAGGAAATTCGTAATTAAATTGTCACTTTATTTTATATCAGACCATCCGATCATTTTCACAAATCAATCTTATCTTGTGTTATATATGCACATTAACACACACTGAATTATTGTCAATTAACTGACAAAGGTAGTCTAAAAGCTAAGCAATAGCTAGGCTATACATATGTATGGTTTTTATTCGAATAAAATGAATAATAATAGTGATAGTGATAGTATACGCACATTGGTAATACTAATACAAAAAATTTTCTTTATAGCTCTTTCCTTCATAGTCCTTGTACCAATAATGATAGCAAAAGTATTTTTTCTTTTTCTTTTCTTTTCTTTAGTCAATTAATAAGAATAACAATTAGTTTTTTTTTTTCCTTGTAGTGATAGTAACAGTGGTGATAGATGTAACTTATTTATTTTTCTATCAGCAAATAGTCGTATATACAAAAAGCTCATTCAAATATACAAGAAACCATTTAGATGTTTAAAAAATGATTATTAGGAATCTTTTTTTTTTTTGTTTTCCTTTTAATAATATTTTTCATTTCAAAAAATTATGGTTTTCTAATCAATTAAATTTTTTTTGATATATATACACAGTATGTAAGGCTCCGAATGAATTGAATCAAGTCAAATTTTAAAGAAATTTTAAATTTAAAATGAAATATGCTTACAACTAGGATAAGACAACCCTTATCTCAACAAGTTCCTATAAAATTATGTACAGGATAAGTACTGAATAGATGCGTATGAAAAAACGTATTCTTTGATACAGAATGCGCTAGAAAATCACTTTCCCGTACCTAAAAACATGAAAGGAGTGCGGTTTTCGTACACAAAAAACGCATTAATGTTAATATTAATATTATTGGCAACCGGATTAATGACTTAGTCAACAGTCTAAAAAGGTTCATAATCGGAACCATCGAGGAAAGAATAATTTTCTTTGTATTTTACTGATAAGTTTGGCCAAACCAAAAAGAAGATATCTTGAGACAAGAACCACTGTTAAACTTACTTCTAATAATGCTAAGGATTTGGTTCGTATGCATGCTATTAAAGTTGCTGCTCTTATTCTTCCTAAAGGTTTCGGAAATTATGCTCCTTCTTTTCATTTTTTATTTTTCTACTTAACTCCCCTCAATAACTTTTTCAACTCGTTCAATCTCTCCAACTTTTCTCAACCTTTTCCAATCTCTTTTTCGCCTCTTCCAATTCCTTTTCAATTCTTTCAAATGTTGACATTTTTTAAAGTGTAAAATTTTAAAAATTAATTTCATTGATTTAGATCATAATATTAATAATATTACAACTTGTGACACATGACTTGGAATGTAGAAAATACATAATTGTTGGTTGTTATTTATTCATCATGTCATCGATAACACAGACAATAGAATGAATTGACTTATTTAGTTTAGTTAGGATATATTTTTTTTAACAATGTAATCTTGTGACATTTTATTAATAACAATGCACAACTCTCCTTTTACCATAAATGGTATTCGTTTGGAACGACTTGGCGCCGTCGTTAGTATTAGGATATATTAAAAATTCTTGGTGATACAATATTCACTTTGTCTAGTTTGCCTCATATACAAATATTAAATTTTAGCTTTAACAAAATGTCTAATAATAGTTTTTCATCATTAAAAAAGATTAACCAAATTTTCAACAATCTTATTAAATCCAATAACAATGCCCTTCCATTAAAACATATTCTTAAACTTTTGAATGATTTAACCCAACTATTAAATGAATCAGATTATTATGATATAGAAATTAAAGTTGGTGATGAAGATGATATTAAAATCTTTAAGGCTCATTCCAAGATTTTAAAAGCAAGGTCTCCATATTTTAAAACTGCCTTGTCAGAAAATTGGTTAACCAAATCTCAAGATGGTATTATTCAATTTGAGA